TAATATACTCCCCATATATGTTGAATAATTGTGGAGATAGTATACATCCTTGTCTGACACCCCGTTCTGGATGAAATTCGTTCGAAAGTGTGTCAAGTACTTTAACTGATCCAGTAGTGTGTTCATATAGTTCGGTTATAAGCGTAATTAGATGTTGTGGTACGCCTACTTCTTTTAGTATTCACCATAAGTGTCTCCACTTGACCCTGTCGAACGCTTTACGGTAATCTATAAAACAGATGTATAGTGGGATGTTGAATTCCCTAGATTTCTCGATTATCTGTCTTATATTCAGCAGGTGTTCTCGAGTGCCTCTACCTTTGGTAAATCCAGTTTTGCTCTTGTGGAATTTCTCTTTGAAGGAATATTTTCAGTCTCTCATTGATTATATGTAGCATTATCTTGCTGGCATGGGATATAAGAGAGATAGTTCTATAATTGTCGCATTTATGGAAGCTGCCTTTTTTATGTATGGTCGTTATTGTAGATTTTGTCCAGTCTTCAGGCCATTGTTTGGAATTCCATATTTGATTACAGAGTAGATGAAGTAACTTTACGCCGGTTTCTTCTGTGGCTTTAAGCATTTCTGCTGTTATCATATCTGGACCTGGTGCTTTGTTATATTTGAGCTTGTTGATAGCCTGTCTTACTTAATTTTCGAGTATATCAGGTTCTTCTTCCACCTCGTCAGAGATTTGGCTAACAAGCTCTTGGCGTTGATCATTTTTATATAGGTCCCTGCAATACGATCTCCATGTCTCTGCTATGTCTTCTCTGTTTATTCTCAGGGTTCCAGTGTTATCTTCAATGGCCCAAGTTCTGGCTCTGAAGTCTCTTGTCAGGTAGCGTATTTTTCTAAATAGATCTCTCGGCTGATTATTCTGACCATGTCTCTCAATTTCTTTGGATATACTTTGATAGTACTGTTTTTTGTCGGCCTTACATCTTCGTTTTATTTCTTTATTGAGGTTTCTTAAACTAGCTTTTTCCCTTTCACTATGTACACCACTTTTACAAAGATTTCTTCTATTCTCAATTATTTTAAGAGTTTCATCTGATATCCAGTGTTTCCGTTTCACCGGATTATTTTTCTTTGAGCGATCCACTGGTGTTGTTACGCAATGTTTAACAGTCTCCCATATTTCTTGTGATGTTCCGTTACGAATAGAGGGCATACTTTTCTGTACTTCCTGTAGAAGGTCTTCTTTCTTTCTTAGTTCTATCCTCTTTATTTTTTGGGTGCTTTAAGTTTAAGCATTACTTTAGCTACGAGGAGAGTATGATCGGATCCGCATATCGCCCCTGGATATGATCTGACTGTTTGAATGGACGATCTCCAGCGAATATTGGTGAGGACGTAATCTATTTGATTTCTAAATCTATCTCCTGGACTTTTCCAGGTATAAAGTCGACGTACATGGTGTTTAAATCGAGTATTCATGATGGAGTAGTTGTTTGTGATAGCAAATTCGATTAAACGGTCTCCTCTTTCGTTTCTCTGCCCTATGCCAAACTTTCCCAGTACATTCTTTAAGTCGTCATTTTGTGTAGTGTTGCCAACTTTTGCATTAAAGTCGCCACATATTATAGTAAGTTCTTTATGTTTCGAGTATACAATTGTATGATTTTAGCTAACATGATTTAAACATTTTACAAAACGTAATAATGAGACTATTGACCCAATGACTAACTGAATATTCATAATTAAAGTCTGTTAAGTGTTAAGAAATAAAACACAGATATACTAAAAAAGTAATTTTATTTCAATATAAAATTCATCACAGAGATTGTATGTACGAGAATGTGAAATATTAAAAATTATTTTAATCAAATCAGTAAACTCATTAAAATGTTTAAAGCAATAAACTAGAGAGATCGATTACAATGTATAAAGTAAAGATAAATATGTACATTTTTCCAAATTTTTAAAATCCGATTATAAAATTTAAGGAGCGCGAACGAAAATCAACTTTATCTTTATATATTAGAAACATGCGACAAATATATAAAATATGACAGCAACCCGATTACTTACAAGTTTGTGTGTTGGCAACTATTTAAGTTTAAATTCTCCTATGTAAACTAAGAGTAATTTAATAATCAAGATCTATTTGATACTTATTTAAAAGAACACCTTTGGCAGCCTGATCGAATGGTGTGATATACGTGCCTTCATTCGCAGAATGTGAACCTATGTGTGAAGAGTGTGAATTGACTGGTGAAAGCTAGTCTCATGAGTCTTTTTCTTTCGATCGTGTGAGTACATATGTCAAAACAGTGCCAAATCAAAATATTTTAGACATTTTCTGTTTTTTTCTTTTTTTGAAGAAGAATATGATTAAGACGAAAAAACAATACAAATGAGGATCAAAGGGTAAGAGAAGTAAAAAATAAAGAAAAATTTGTAAAATATTTACTGAATAAGGTTATTTTTAAGAACGTCACGTTGGCAAGTTATTTTTCACAGGATACTGTGAGACACTTCATCAGTACCTGTAGAAGGTTTTTTAACTGTAATTCAGAATTTTGTTATCAGATCAGAGGTAGCAGCGCCCATGTTCCTGAGACTGACGATCCCACTATCTCTCCCACTATAGTAGTAGAGTTTTAATTATCATTAAAAGTCGATAGAAGAGACTCGTAAACTGGTAGTGGTAGGTAGTAGCAAAAGTATATGCTTACAGCAGATACGGAGCTGTTAAGATACGCTGTGACCATAGATGTAGTAATAATAAACTATGTAGAACTGGAGGACAATAAGTGAAGCCGATTTTTTACAAAGTGTTGTCCGCTAGATGGACACAAATAAAGGGACAAAAAAATGTAAACTTTGTTTGAAATTTCGGGTGATTTTACCGAAAGTACAAGCTAAATATAGCTGCAAATGTCAACCATAAAATAAAATATTTCGGTTTGACAGTGTTGGTATGTTTTTATAGTGCATATATTGTATGCTTCAAATATAAAGAGAGAAAGCTTTTAAAAAGTATATTTTGATTATACTATTTTATGAATTCTGCAATTTTTAATTTATATGAAACAAAAACGAGTAAATATTTGTCTCTTTCGAAATTAATTGCAAACATCTGTTGCAATCTGGCAACTGCTGATTTGACAATTGCCAAATATATCCCTTAATCTATCAAAGGGCATTTGCCTTAAAAAATTTCTAATAATTAACTGCAATTAATCTCCAAAGAAACAAATATTAACTCATTCTTGTTTTATATAAATAAAAAATTGCAGAATTCATAACATAATATAAACAAAATGTATTCAAACAAAATCAACACTGCTATTCCGAAATTTTTCTAAATCATAATTAGATAAGACATAGTTTTTGTAATGTGTATTGGTTAATCTTCGGATTTGAGCTTTACAACAATTGTTTTACAACAAGGTAAAAATGACCTTGAATTTTTAATACTACAAGGGTTAGAGAAATTTAAAGGAGGTGAAAAAACTATAAAGTTCATTAGAGCCATAGATAGATTCTTTGACTTCCTTAATTTTAGGAATCCATTTGCAAAAGAGTATAAAAAACCAATCTTTGAAAACAATCATTCATTTCTTAAGAAATAATTTAATGACATTCAATAACTATCTACTCTGAGAACAGAACACAACAACTTACTGCATAAATCTTACAGGAAAACACTTATAATAGGATTTGCAATAAGTTGCCAGTCTGTATTAAAAATTTCCAAAATGTTGATTGTCAGAGGATATAAATATGTCTTGACTTATAAATTTTCATAAGATGCGATAGAGATATTGTTTTCAAAAATTCGAAAAAGGTATGGTTTTAATAACAATCTAAATTCATTAAAATTTTTAATAGCAATGAAGCAAATTCTGATTTCTGTTTTAATTGCTTAAAAGTTTTAAGATGATAAAGGAAGTCTTAAACTTCATTATTCCGTGATAAAAATAATAAACAAAGCTAACCTAAGCAAGATCTTTTAAAATTTTCTTATATTCAGTCAAGTTTAATTTTCAAATTTTTGCACCCTTATTTTTTGCGCTGGAAAATAGCGCCCTCTAGCCGGCTACAATTCTGTCTTAATACGATCATAGGAAGTTCGACCTCTAGGTTATTAAATAGAACTCTGGGACTGCGACTGATGTCGAACTAGTTGATCGAGGGACGCAGACTTACAGCGTGCTGGACATCCGTCCTTTACTTACGGACACTTAGTATAAAGCGTGGTACGTTGAACTTATTGTGGAGGATAAGAATGATTCCACCTTCCCCTGAATAAAACTTACATTGTGTGTAGCTGAGTGTTATCCCGTTCCTATCCACAAATTTTTAGCACGGGAAGTTAAATAGTTCCCTGTTTCTATTGTCCGGCACGCTCACAACGTATTTTCCGATCCTTTATGATCTCCCCATAGGAATAAAATTTTGTCTGATTTTACCGAAAACAGCTGAGTTTCTTATTGAGACCGTCTTGGATAGAAAATAAGTCTCGATACACAACGACAGTACAGAACGGCAAAAAATGTTACAAAAATACAGATCCCATCAATGCTAAACGCCATTGTAACAATTTGATGAATCAAACTTGCAAAATACGCCGAATTGCGCCACTGCACCAAAGACATCCGCTGTGAATGGAAAAGGTATACGGGCGTACGTGCTGCAAGAAAAATGCGCTTGCCTCACTTTGATGATACCTCTACCTATAATAAGGAACACACATGAAAATCCTTCTTGGTAGCATTGGAATATGGAACAAAATTTGCGTTAACTTATATACAAAAAATATGACCGAACAAACACCATCGGTTTTTTATTATTACTGATTGTAATTGGATGATCGGATGATAGTCGACTGTGGTCTCACATAAAGGAAAAGTGCCACACTGCACTGGATATCAATGATGAGAGCTTTTAAGTAAATCCAACTACCGGATAGTATTTAATTTCGGGATCAGTCAATGGGAGTAAGTATTTTATAAAAGACTTAGAATCCAGGTGTACTAGTTCAACGGTATCATGATCTAAATTCACCCGACAGTTTTGTAATCGTACTAAGAACTTCTTTCGTCGCAAGATACTGTTTAGTTGTTTCAGTCAGTTTGGCTTCTTTCTGCTCCAGAGTTTTTCGTAAATCCTTAATTTGCTAGAAAACAAATAAATAGGTATTAAAACACCAAAAATTCGGTAAAAAATATATAAGCATATTGTCGGCGATCTGACAATAGCTGCTAACTGACATTTTACGTCTGTTATGTCTAGAGCTTCGTACACATGAATAATTTATTGCAACAAAATCGGCTGTCTTTTAAATACAAGATTGGAGACTTATTACGGTCTAACAATACCTACTCATAACAAAATATCAATTTAGTGGCGGCAATACCTGCTATCTGTCAGTTTGTCTACTGTCTGCACATTACACAGACACATACTTAGGTTAACATTTTGTCCGTTAGAAAATCATCGTGTATTCTATTAGTTATCTGCTGGAAATTATACACACTAACTTGATTAACTATAAATATAATTTTAACTAAAATGTTTTATCTAGTGCGATGTAGATAGCAGATATTGCAAAGAAAATTTTACCATTTTAATTGCATTTAGCAGCTTCTGCCTTTATTATATTAAGTTAGACTTAGGAAATAAATTTTTTTAATTACAGTTTTATTTTTATTTATTTTAGGATAATATCCACTACTAATAATATCATGCTGTCAAGAGCACAAAAAATATACAACGCTGCTATCAAAGGCTCATTATTAGAGTCTTGTGAGGAACCACAAAATATTACCCCGACTAACTGCAATGTGATATCAAAACCTATCTGTACACAAAATCAAGATTGTACCCACTAATCATCCTTAGTCCTCTCTAACTTTGTTCAATACATCCAACTCCCCTTCTCTCCTCGCTTCTGTCTAGGCACCCAACATTCTCCATGCTCCTTTTCAACAAAATAAATTCAGAGCAGATTATTCCACTCCCTCTCCATAAACAATTTTCCATTAACATACATCTTCACCTACTTAACCACATATCTTCACCTTTTCTTACTGTATTTTTCCTTTCTATTATAACTCCTTTTACCCATCCACTCTCCCTCAGGGTTTGGTTTTCGGGTCTCTGGGGTCTTCGGCCTCTTGTAGTTTTTCCACTTTTCTCTTCACAATAACAATTAAACATCACACATCTTTAGTAAATTTGACAGATCCAACTCAAACATAACTACTCTTACAGTTTCATAATATGTTCTCACAATACACCCCAAAAGCCTATTAAACTCACATACCTACCTAAACTCAAATTTATAACTCATTCGTTTTTTATTTTATATTTTTCAGGCACCAAATGTTCCTTTTAACATATAGGGCCTCTTGTTTTTTCTTGAGTTAGAATTTGAGCAAGGTATTAACAATACCATACCAAACAACCTTTCAGCCATCAGTTTTCTGTTGTTCTGGCATATGTGTCCACATACAAAAACAATCTACCATCTTTAATTTTCACACATAACCATCAATTCATGTTCATGTACTTATAACTTGAAAAATCTTTTATTTTTATCAGGTGCCAAATGTTGTTTTTTGACATAGAGGGCACTCCTTGCTTAAGTTTTAAGTTAAGTACTACATCAATATCACACCATAATCACATTCTTATCATATTTAAATTTCAGCTCAACAACAGATCTAAACACACTTTTTACCACAACATTCCTCATTAATAAATCTTATAGGACCCATCTTCCTACATGTGCCTTTTTTTCATTTTTTAACCATTTTCTAGGTACCAAATGCTACACAACATACATGGCCTTTTGATAAAAATTTTCTAGCTTAGAACAAATAAATCCATACACATGTATAGTTGGTTGCCTACTGATCCTACAACATTTATAAACTCTAGTTTACTCACATTAATTTTAAAAAAAAACAAATTTTTCAATGTTTCGAATATAGCCATATGATTAATTCACATTACAGACTACAACATTGATGGTTGATACTGTTACATTATTATAATTTTAATTTTTTTCAATTTTAAATAATGCTGACATCTGTCATTTTTAGACAGCTACCGTAAGTTACACTGACTGCTCTGACACAACATCCGTTCTAACATGTCAACAATGTCATTTTGATCAGTTGTTATCAACAGGTCCTCGAAGACACTTCGTCTCAGGACCATTCTACCTATGTAGGGTCATACGTCGCTATGTTACCAATTCCAACGGTAACTTAAACATCATAATTTGTAACCACATAAAATGTAAATCAAATGTAAATTTATATCATTTAAAGGGTTTGGACCCATATATTTTGGTGGCTCATAGCATGTATACCTCGTAAGTATTAACCACAATGTTCTTTAACCTTAGTCAACATTTTAAATTCAACGTTCTTTTAATTAAAGTGGTTATTTACTTTCAGGTTTGCACTGATGATGGATTTATTAATCCGAAAACGTTTTGCAATATATTTGTGATAGCCCGTTTGGGCATTTTATTATATACCTTTTATAAAGGATTATACGTTTATTACTATTACTTCTTCTCTCAGGATACAAAAGAAAAGAAGAGATATTACAGTACTGTAACAAGATAACGTAACTCCGACGTGTCACAATTCGTAGATTAGTAAATGACATCGCAAGTCTATTTCAGAAACGGATGATCAAAATAAATATGTCCTGGTAGCTATGGATACCAGGATATATTTAACCCAAATTTTATACAAAATCAAGAAGCTGCTACCGTTACAGAGGTACTTGTTAAAGAATTCTTCAGCCGATTTGGTGTTTCCTTGGAGATCCACTCCAACTAATGCCAAAACTTCGTGTCAACCCGCTTCCAAAACGTTTGTAAATTCATTGGTGTCAATAAGACCAGAACGACACACCTACATCCTCAATCAGATGGAATGGTCGAGAGGTTGAACCGAACGGTTAGAACGGTCCAAAGAGATAAAGAAGTTAGATTTCAAATCCCAATTTCTTTGGATCTTGATCCAAAGAGATTGGAACCAGTACATTCATTTATTCCTAATGGCCTACCGCTCGGCCGTGAATGAAACTACAAGCCAGACTTCAACTCGCCTGATGTTGGATCGTGAAGTTCGTTTGCCCTGCGACCTGCCGTATTCAATAAGAATTTCGGTCGCTTGGACGATTTAAAAATCAGCAGCCTAAATTTGGAGGAGTACTGCGATTAGAAGATGGTTCTCGATCTTTGCTGTATATGGTGACCAGAAAGCCTTGTATAGGCAAGGTAAGCTACTAGGACATATAGCGTGCTCTAACTAATTTGAAGAAAATCGTGTGCAATTATGACATAAAACATTTAGCTATAACAAAGACAAGCCATGCACTAGAAAATTTGGATTGGAAGATTGTGAGAAGCATGCTTTAAGTGATCTTCGAGAAACGACGTACGAATTACTGTATCTTGTATTAACCAGAAGAGATCATGCCCTTTAAAGACAGTAGACTATTATTTCTTCTCGAGGGGTTTATGCAGAGGGGAGAGTCTTGTAGATTCCGTCATCCTGGGCCTTTATCTAAAGTTGCTGATCTAAGAAAAAAGCAGTGTAACAAAATAGCGTACCTTCGATGCGTGGTATGTGTCACAATGCGTCAGAAGGATGACTCACAGAGCATACGATCGATGGCGTTATCAATAGCGTCCTGCCTTCGAGAAGCTACTTAAACCACGAATAGAGATAGACTACTCCAGATAGCACTCAAAGGAGTGTATTCTATATACAGATTTGGAAAAAATTTTTACGGAACATAGGATTGTTAATACAATAAATCAGATCCCCTGATTTGCAATTAACCAGTGTAAATTTCAATACAACGTCTATTAGTAGTTAGTTTTTATTTATTTAAACACGTTACAGTACATTACAGAAATGCACAGAAGTTAAATAAACATGTAGATACATTATTAAAATTTAAAATATAAATACTTACCCCATTAAGATCATCAATATGGGAATTTGCGTTCTTGAGTTGCTGCTCCCTAGTTTGTAATTGCTTCTCTACCCTATTTCCGTTTTCCTCTAACTTTTGTATAACGCTTTGGAATTTTTTGATTTGTTGTTCTAAATTTTCTTTTTGTTCTGTCATTTGTATAAGTTCTACTTTAATTTCTTTTAGTTTTGTTTCGTGATTTTTTACACATTGTTGCCAGTTTTCTAAAAGTCAAGAGCATACAAATTAATCTTATACATATATGGTCCTGAAGCCTATATGTTGATAAGTATAAATTAAAAAACTTACCTATTTCTGTGTCAGCCTTTTTCTTCTCGTCCAAACAATAACTCTTTAAATCGTTCATAGCTTTTCCGCTTTTTTCCAGTCTATTCTCATAATGGTGTATTAATTGTCCTAGTTTGTTGTGCTCTTCGGAAAATTGTGCCAATCTGTGCTGCAAATGTACGCATCTTTCCGAAGCAGCTTCTAAATTCTTCGAAGCCGAAAGTTCTGAGTTTGCCAATGATGCTAATTTGTATTCGTACAATTCGATAACTTGACATACTGATACATTCGAAACGTTTTGTTCGTCAATTAGTTTCTATAAAACACAAAGACAATTTACACAAGTAAATTACATAAATGAGATAAGTTTTTGTACAAAAAATAAAAGGAATGTTACTGGAAAAGCTAGACGCGATACCTAATCAAAAAATGAGATCGTTGATGTCGGACCCAACATATTGATGGCGCAACAATACCAATTTTGTCACTTGTCAAAATTTAGACTCAATGGAAGAGTTAGCTATAGTGATTTAAATGATTCTATTACTGCAATTTTTTACTACAAAAGAATGTTTCAGTGAAAAAGATTTGGATCAAACGAGAAAGATATTGCCATAACTGTTATATATAACATGCTGAATCTAAAGACAAAAGTGGCATCAAATTATTAGAGAAGCATTAGAATCAGTTGATTACCTTAGCAGAAGACTATTTTATTAAACAAGGTCAAATTTTACTTAAAATTATTACTTAGACCCGTAGCTTACACATGTTACCAGTTTGGACTTATAATTTCAAAATTAGGATGAAAAACTCAACTCTTACCTTAAAATTCTTCAAAGTATCATCTACCATTTCCATTTGAGCATACCCCAATATAGGATATACGGGATCATATGTTGTTTTTGATAGTGTCCAACTCGAATTTTTGTTATTGCAAAACATAGCTTGTGAAGTTTCCATGGCGGACGCTATCTTGGAAACCGGAAATCTTGACGATCTTGCCAATTCTAAGACCAGTTGTCTTATTTCACTTTTACTTCCATAAAGGGCTATGGCAAGAATGCTTTGAATGTTCCTGAAGAGATTTAAATAATGTATTTATACAAAAGAATTGCAATATTGAAGAGCAATAGAGATCGTTATTACACAACCTATAGGAAGGCGCCTCCAGGTCGTCACCAACAGAGATCGAGTGATAATATGAAGAGAGACTTTATTAGAGATAAACCTCACAAAGGATAAAACGAAATGGTGAGGATTTATGAAGGAGGCGAAAATCCTCAAAGGATTGTTCGGGCATCAAAAGTAAGTGAGTAATAGATCCCATTCCAATTAAGAGTTTGCAAAAATGAAAAGGTTAAACACAATATACGAACACAGAAATTTTTACAAACGAGTTAACGCCAAAAGAATAATCTCCAAGATACAAGCAACCAGATAAAGCCCGCTAATGAAGCTTTTTGACCGAAAGAAAGTGGTAAAAATACTTGAGTATGTTACTTATTGGAGAAAATAGAAATCATTCCAATATACCGCCACCCCAGCCTCAAGGTGTGAAACCATCGAGCAGAAGAGTTGCATGGCCTAAGGGTGAAAATGGGTCTCAAGCGTTGCCCAAAGGAGGAGGCGAACCGGAGGGGATTATAGCCTTGGCGGAATATGGGCGCACTGTCCCCCTGAACCGACCCAACTTGTGGGAAGAAAAATGAATAAGGTAATAAAAAAGAAGGTAAGTAGAGGAGTCTATGGAGCATATAGGCGAAGAGATGTTGGCGGCATTAGGAGGAGAAAAAATTATGAGACAAAGTAGAAGAACAAATGGGAAAATGAGGACATGGGTGAAACAACGAATCAGAATGGCAGTGGAAAGGAAATGGGAGATAGAAATAGAAGTGGATAGGTGACCAATATTAATAGGAGCTGGTGGAAATAACAATGGAAGTAAAATCAATTTAAAAAGAAGTGAAACAAAGAAAGCAATCTCAAAATGAATGAACGCATCAACGAGTTAGAACAAAGACGGTTTAAAATATGAAGAAGATCAAACAAGGGGCCACAATTGTATGGCAGATTTGATGCGAAATAGGAAGAAAATTTATAGAGTTAATGTATAGTGTTATGGAGGATATATACCCTTCCAATCGACCTAAGAGTGGTCTATTGTGGCTTGGAGAGTAGCATAAGAGCCCTGGTTTGATCTGGTCCATTTTAGGCAACAAACTTGATGCTTTTAGGGAAAGGATGTCAATATTACATTTAAAATAGGGGTTTGTTATTAGTTTTTGATTTGACTGTTTAAGGCTCAGAGCAGAACTATAGATAATCATAATGTCGAAGCTAGACAAAAAAAATATCAACGTTTATTATACTTAAATTCTACAGATTTACTAAAGAAAACATTAGATTAATAGTACAGCAACATCTGTATAATAAAAAAATGAACTCACCTGTTTTCCATTAATAAACTCAGATTCTCCAACCATTTCGCGTTATGTTGTGAAAGTTCACAAACCAATACGATAGCATATACGTAAGTATCAACATACTCTGTCGAAGACGTTTTATCTTCGTTGGCTTTCAAAAGCGGTAAATGTTTACCATTAAAATCCTCAGCAAGTATTGGAGTAAAGATACTCATCAACAGATTCTCGTTTATCGATTTCACTACGTCACTCGTTATGGAATTGGCTTTCAGCATCATCCGCAATAGTTGCAAAAGTGAGCGTAATCTTTTACAAGCATCCATGTTGGCTAAAATAATTAATATTAGTAGAATAATCCATACTTAGTTGTCTATACATACCTGGCAAAGCTTCATTTTGAATCATATTTAAAAACACTGGCAATTTGGATCCCAGTAATTGCAAATCTGCTTCATTGTCCGTACCTTCAGACAGATTTTGTGTAACGATAGTTAACAGCATATTTGCATGAAAAGACACTTTTTCAGAATTCACCCAGTCCAAAGCCAATTTCACTATGGCCGAATACAGTTTTGAAAAATCGGACAACTTGTGATATTCTAGAGCGTAAATAAATTTCATAGTCAACATCACACATTCGGGATCTTGCTGAGGTAATGGTGTCGCTTCCATTTCTGACGGGACTTGTCTTGAATGTATGGACTAAAAAAAATTAAGCAGTGATTTAATTAAGTAATTTAGTGTATCGTACTTTATTATTATTATTCAGATTTAGCCTTACGGCTCACACTCCCTCTAAGGGGGAAATTCATTCCTCCCAGATACCTACGGTATCCAAAGGATTGAGCTCTGGTGGGACTCTTTCCGTGTTATCGAGCCCTAGGTGACTTGGTATGTTGGAGTATCTCCCAAAACTTTCGTACACATCTGGACGTCGCGAGGAGTACAGCTTTCTGTATAGCTTTATAGAAATGTTCATTTAGACCCAGCTGTTTCATGTTCTCTAAGGTTTTTGGGAGTAACACCAGTAGTAGATAGAATAATAGGTACTGTCTAGGTACTTTACCTTCTCCATTGTCTCCTGATTTGTATTTCTAGATATCTGTGCTTGGCGATCTTTTCGTTGTATTTAACACGTAAATTATTGGTGTTGGGTATTGCCACATCAATAAGTATTGTTTGTTTAGTAAGTTTATTAACTAGTATGAGATCTGGTCTATTATGCGCCACTGGTTGGTCTGTAAGCACAGCGCGATTCCAGTAAAGATTGTAGTTGTCATTTTCAAGCATTTTATCAGGGACGTATTGATAATAAGGAAGATGGTTTTTTATACTCAGTACCTACAAATGCTTGGCAGCCATCGGTAAGATGTTGGATGGTTTCTTGGGCTTGGCATCCATATCGGCATTTCGCTGCCTAAGAATTACAAGGTTGTATGATACAAAATGTAGAAACTGAGAAAAATGACTTTGAATATTTTGACCATTAGATTTGATATACGCGAAAGTATATTTGCTTTTGTTTTAAACATAATAAATAAAAGTCTACTACAAAAGCACATTAAAAAAAAAGGAATAAAAAATATTTAATTTTTCCTATATTTTTATTGAAAAAATAAAATAACATAGAACTTCGTGACTCTAATAAAAAACGAAAAATGCAAAAACATGCAACATAAGTCTTTGTAACATTATCTTCTGATCAGCAATCTCAGTTTTACTGTTTATGTTGAGACATGTTGGAAAACATGTAAACATAAAATATTCTGTCTACATCTGGCATCCACTTTTACATATATTTCAGAGCTTCCACCTGGTTTTGTGCCAAGGTGACTTTAATGGAATCGCGCAATAAACAGTCCAGTTTGTGGAAAGGTGCGCTGTTATGTTATACACATATAGCTTACTTTTATAAAAGAAATTTTTGTTTTTTGAGACGTCTCCTTTTGGACATGTCAATACATTTTGAAAGTCAAAACACAGTACTGCGTTGCCATTTTCAATATCCACCTTTTTCTCTTCTCTCATTATTTTTTTTTCTTGCAAGTGCTTTTCATATTCCTTTTTCTTTTCTTCATTAAGGGTGTTTTCTTTCTTCAGGCAGTTATTTCAGCATAGAGGTCACATAGATTTTTTGAAGGTTTGTTAAATGAATAATTGAATTCAGTGCAAAATATAATCATTAAGTTTTACTGACGTAACTTTTTTTCTATGCTTTCCCTGAATACTTTGACGAATTGTGTTCGTTTCTGTAGAATTTTTGTAAACAGTGGATATAGGTTTTTGATTTATACCTAGTGTTCCGCAGTAAAACTGTTTGCAAACCTGTATTTTGTTATTACTTAAAATAAAGAAGAATTTAAAGGTTTTAGATTTTTTTGAGTTTTGGGCATTTTTTCCTTTTCTTCTTCGCTGCGGAATATTCATTTCAGTTGTGCTTAAAATAAACATCCTTTTTCACTGATACTAGGCTTGTAATAATCAGAAAATAAATTTTTTCTGTCTTCTTCGCTTATATATTGGACACATTTAAAAATGCATTTTTTTAAGCAGTCTTTATGTGTTTTTATCTCTCTTGCTGGTCTTAACTTCTTTCGTGAAGAAATGTATTTTATCCCTCTATCAAAATTTTGTTTTCTAATATTGCAGGCCCAACGCTCGGGATTTCTAGATCTCTTTCTAGTACGTTTTTTTCTCTTGTAAACTGATATTATTTTTCTTCGGTTGATTTTCGTAATTTTCCTCATATTGCTGTGTGCATATTTCTTTATTTTCCTTCAAAAAGTCGTCTTTTATTGGAATTGTTTGTTTTGTACATATATAAATCAAGTAATAAAATTGATGACAGTTTCTATATACTACATAGGACCCTGTTATTCTATAATCAAAATTGATGACAGTTTCTATATACTACATAGGACCCTGTTATTCTGAGTTTGGAAAGTTCACTAAAATTTTGCGAAAAACAATGTCGTATGTTGCGCTCATTTCATATTTTCATAACATACACCAATGATTTAGATTTACAAAGTTCTATAGGTGCCTTATGATACATAGAACCTTGTTATCTTAAAATTGCTGATTTTTTAATTTTGTTAGATACACCCTTGTAATACTCAGGCAGCGATTTGTCATTTTGGACTTGAGGATCTTTAACAATATATTTCAGGTAATTTTTAGTTGGAATAACCTGATCCTGAATGGCAAGTAGGAAACCCTCAGTCTCAGGAAACATCTTTGCTGATGTCAACCAATAGTTCGATGCTGTATTGTCGACGTATTCTTGGCTGATCTCATTGAGATGTCGCCCATGCAGAGGTTTACTCATCCAGGTGCGCATTTTATCTTGCTGAGTCAGGTGGTTTATGCTTATTATTATTATTATTAATGATACAAGACGGCTTACATATGATCTTCCTTCATTTTACTCATTTAAAATTTATTTCCACTAGATCAACTAAATAGAGTTGGGGATCGCACATAAACATGTTTACGTGCTCACGTGCTTCAACAACACAAATCCTAGTGTTGTTGAAGCTGATAATGAGGCTTTTACATATAACACATAATAGTAAAAAATAAGACATAATTAAAAGTAATTAACTAATTCACATACCTTTACTAAGGCTTCTAATTGTTCGCTATAATGTTCATATTCCTTAAACACTTCTTTGTTTTCGGAACTGATCATGTCAACAAAAAAATCAATGACAGATCTTAGCATCACCGGATCGTTTTTGGTCAATGATTCATGTATGGAATTGAAAGTTGGTGATATTAAGTGTAGTAAAGTACATTTTGGAATGTCGTCATTTAAGTGGTTTAGTATTATCATCAATTTACATACGTGAATTTCTACTAATGGTCCCTAGAATAAAAAACAAAACATACATGTTGAAAACAATATTCTTATACTTGTATAACATATACAAGTTTTCATTAATCTGAGCAAGTGAACACTAGACTCTTGTCAATTTAAAATATAATAATTTAAAATATAATCATTCTTACTAATGTATAACATAATACACTTCTTCTAGTCATACTTCTCTGTTCAGCTAAAAAATGTTAAATAGTATACTTACTTGTAAAGGTAGACAAAATCGTAAAAATTTCTTAATATCTATAATTCTTGATAAAGTGTATACTACAGGTAAATTCTTAAAGCATAAATTTACTAAAACGCTTAAAGAAAGACAGATGATATCTTGGTTCTTGTCTTCTACCCATTTAGTAAGGATTTTCAATAAATGTGGCAAATGAGAAACTTGCCAGGATAACTTTATTCCACATGTTAAATCCTAAAAAAAATGTTATTGATTAAGTTAAGGACAAAATGTTTACGAACAATAGCATTCAAGGTACAAATGGGATAGAGCATTTTTTAAATAATTTAAAAAAACAAATGGTTTTTTACATGTAAAATACAAATAGAGAATTATGGGAAAGTAATATAACACAGTGGATTCTCGATCGAACCTCCGAATTAGCGATAATTGATATTTAATATTAGCTTGTTAGTTTGGACAAAATAAGGAATTTTTTTATTCAAATGTAGAATTTTGCTTATATCTAAAATTTAAACAAAGGTGCAGTTTTAAAATGTTACTTCTTCTGGCCTAAAAACTGTAAGTTTGATTTTCTTGTTTCATCTATAACAAATCAAGTGTAAACAACTATTTTGCCGATTTGGCGTGAGGTTAATTACCAGTCTTTCCGGTAATGATCCATTATAAGCACCAAGGCCGTATTCAGGTTATTTAGCACAAACATGGAAATAGATTTAGCAGTGGGAACTTCCACCATGGAAAGTTCTGGCAATCTACTTGTACACCAACCATCAAAATTTTATTCTACAGCTCTTAACCAACCTACAAATAAATTTGAAAACAAAAAACAAGCAATTCTACTTCACTCCTTCCCAAACTCTAATATTGAAGTTTATCTTAATGCAGTAACTTCTAAAAGAGATCCCAGAAAAATACACATTCTATTTCTAAAATTATAAATGATCGTATTTGTATCTTCTTTACCAGTGAACAGACTGTCGATGAGTTTCTAGCAAACGACAATGAAATTGTACTAATTAGTCAAGAACGTATCCAAGCCCGAAGACTAATAACTCCAAATGAACGATGGATTATTTCCAACATATGTTCAAGTGTTTCGCACAGCGTTATAGAAGAACAACTGAACAACTTAAGTATACATCTAATAACTCCAATTGACTTTCTCAGGATAGATAGTTCAAATCCAGAATTTAAGCATATCTTGAGTTTCCGACGATACACTTTTAGAGCGCCAACTAACTTAGACAAATTACCTGATTCTATGTTAATTAACCATGAGGATAACAACTATCAAATTTTCTTTTCCATCGAAAAGCAATCTTGCTACTTATGCAAGAAGCAAGGACATTTTGCATCTCAGTGTCCCAATAAAAATAATCAGACTCCTTCAAACAACACCCAAAATAATGTTCATTTAAACTCTCTACAGGAAGTACACCAATCAGCTTCCCTTTCGACAATTTCTTCCACATAATCCTCTCCTACTGAGACTAAAACTACATTATATGAACTAAGTTCATATATGTTGTTAGTTGCTTAACTGTTTATACAAGATCAGCGTATTATGTCCATTTACTTAGTTTCATTCACATGTGTGTTAATAACATTGACTGCTACATATCTTTTTAAGGTAACAATTAACATCGTTTCCATGATTGTGTGGTTCTCATATTGTAATAATTTTTTAGATGAACTGATGATGCTTTCAAAACTCGAAAGCGAAACGTCTTCAAAATAGATAAAGTAGCCCATCAACTTTGTCTTTTATTTCTCCACCTAGAGACCGATATAAGAACCCACCACTCGTCTGAGTGATCCTTATATATATATATATATATATATATATATATATATATATATATATATATATAACACAGCGATTAAATGTAACACAATTAATCAGGGCCAGAAGTGAAAGAACTAACCAACAGACTATGCAGAAGGTAAACCAAAAAGGTGATACAGTAGGCAGTATTGTAGACTAGCACAAAGCTTTATACCATGTTTTCTGTATTTTTAAATCAGATTTTTAAACTTAAAAAAAGTAAATTTATTATTTATTTATTATTTGAATTATACATGTAATTTTAATAAAAACGCGGTGAATCTATAGGTGATTCAAATAAACAATAAACATAATATTTAAGAACTACACAAAACCACTATTAGTTAATATTCTTGTTATAGATTTTAATAAAATTGAAAAAATGTACATGTTGTATCTTTTAATTGTTTACAGCGCCTTACCAAGTGTAAACGCCAGTATAGAAGCTACCCTTCAATAATTTATGATACAGTAATAAAACTTCGAAAAAAAAAAATAATATATACTTTTCTTCTGATAGGCCATATATGTGTTCTTGACATATCTTAAAGCTGTCTCACCATCTTTTAACTGATCTACCTGGTGGTCTGTTGCCTGTTGGTTTTACTTCATGCTAATACAGCGGAATTGGGATGGTTTAGTAATAAACTTTGAAATTGTCTAAAATTGTCTCTAAAGCTCATACTACGATGGAGCAAGACACTTACAAAGCATCTAAAAAAAACCAGATGAAAGAAAATCTGTGGCGATGAAAATTTATGCATTAGATAGCACAGTAGTGTTCCTACAGTTTGAGAAGTTAAACAACAAAAAAACTAGTATCCTATTAACAGTTTTTTATCAAAATGTTGGAGGCATTCATACAAAGATTTCCAAGATCCCAAAAAGTATTTCCTGCTGCTCATACCATATAATTATTTTAGTGGAGAGTAACTTAAATGATAACAACTGATTCTGAAATTAAATGTGATGGTTTTAGTATCTACAGATGTGAAGATCCCAGATAACCAGTGCAAAGTTAAGCGGCGGTTGTCTACTAGTGTTTGTTAACAAGCTAAAATGACAAACTATTAGTATTCGTAAATATCAGGATGAACAAACATATATCTTATGTCAACTTAATGAAGTCAAGTTTGTGGTCGGTGGTGTCTACATACCTCCACAATCAACTCATGAAATATACAATTGGCATTGCCAAACTGTGGAAAATGTTTTTCTGCAATACTCAGCACAGGATATCTATGTTTTTGGTAATTACAATCTTCCCAATGCATCATGGGAGAATGATGAGTTTGGTGTGATGGCGCATTGTCCTGCAAGTGATCCAGCTGTGAATATTGCTCAAGTCTTTGGTTTTTTTTTAACACGAAGAAAATGTCATGGTCCCATTCCAGGAATTCCTGAGGCCAGTCTGATGGCTAGAGCTGGCAGCCCCGGCATCAGAATCGGGCGCGAGAGGCCAATCACCTATCCGCCTCAAATTACTAGATTTTCGAAACTTCTACAGAGAACAACCGGACGGATCCTTTGATAACGACCTTTGGCTTACGTAAACGGACAAGAATCAGATATTGGAACATAAAAACTATGATGCAAGCATCACGCCTTGCCCAAATTTGTAGAGAGATGAAAGCATATAAAGTCGATATACTAGGTCTCAGTAAGACACGGTGGAATGGGACGGGAGAGCACGTCAACATGGAAGGCGACCTGCTGATATACTCTGGTAAAACAGATGGCGAAAGACATGAAAATGGAGTAGGAATTCTATTTAGTAAAGTCACAAAAAATTCTCTTGTGGAATGGAAACCAGTTTCAGAGCGAATAATCACTGCAAGAATTAGGACCAAATTAAGACTGGTAACACTGATTCAGTGCTATGCACCAACAGAACAATCAACAGAACAAGAAAAAGAGGATTTCTACGAATGCTTTGAAGCAACATTAGAACAAATTAAAAGATTCGATATAAAAATAATGATGGGAGACTTCAATGCCAAGGTTGGCACTGACAACACCAACCTAGGACACGTTATCGGAAAGCATGGCACTGGCCAGAGAAACAACAACGGCGAACGCTTCATTGAATTATGTGGTAATCATGACCTAATCATTGGAGGGACTTTGTTCCCACACAAAACAATCCACAAGGTATCATGGAAATCGCCAGATAACCGCACCTACAATCAAATCGACCACGTTGCAATCAGTAAGCAATGGAGATCATCTCTCTTAGATGTCAGATTATGGAGAGGCGCAGATGCGGCCAGTGATCACTACCTGATGATGGTCGAAATTAGATTCAAAATAGCTAGGAATAGAAAAGAACTGAACAAACCTATTCGAAAAAAGTTCAACATTGAGAAACTACAAAATAACGAGACGAAAGTAGAATTCGCACGACAGCTGAGATCCAAAATCGACGAAAGACAGGACAAAAATTGGGAAACGATTAGCAAAGCCCTTGTGGAAACAAGTGAAAACGTGCTGGGCCTAAAGAAAGAGTGGATTACGAGAGAAACGTGGAACAAAATAGAACGTCGCAAACACATTAATCTAGAATTACTAAATTCCAAGACAGCAGCAGAGAAGAACCGACTTAGAGAAAGTTATAGAGAAGCGAATAAAGCTGTCAAGAAGGCAGCAAAGAAAGACAAAAGAAAGTGGGCAGAAAATCTTGCCGAAGAAGCGCGAGTCGCCGATGAACATCAAAACATGAGACAATTATATAATATCACTAAACAACTAGCCAATAAAAGATATACTACCCACCAACCAATTGTAATAAGTGCTACAGGTGAAGATATTACAGCGCCACAGGAACAAGTCAAAAAATGGCATGAATATTTTAGCGAATCTCTAAGTGCAGTCCCAACACCACCAGAAGACGCAGAAAACCTAATACCCAATATCCAACTGAGAATTAACACCAACGAACCAACAACGCAAGAAATAGAAATGGCCATAGAAAAACTGAAAGCACACAAAGCAGCCGGCCCTGACAATATTCCACCAGAGTTGTTAAAAGCTTGCCCAGGTACAGTGGCAGAGCTAATCCAACCACTATTGAAAAGGGCTTGGAGAGAGGAAAAGTTCCCCAAAGAATGGAAAACGGGATTAATAATAAAGATACCAAAAAAGGGTGACAGAAGATATTGCGAAATCTGGAGAGGAATCACACTTCTGAATACTATAAATAAATTAACAGCAATAATTATAAACAACCGACTAACAAACAGTGTAGAACCAATGTTGAGGAAGGAACAAGCCGGTTTCAGACCAAACAGATCATGCGTGGACCAAATTAACACACTAAGAGTAATTGTAGAACAGTCACAGGAATTCAACTCTCCTCTCTTTGTGTGCTTTGTGGACTTCAAGAGAGCTTTTGACACGGTCACACATA